CAAATTTGCGACTTTAACTCAGATGTAGTGCATTGAGGTCTCTGGATGAGATCGCCGCTTTTATGCACAGGAGCTAGCGTGACCAACTGCTGAAGACAATTAACCTGCGGCGGCTTAGCGCATTCACGTCAACTTTGAACGTAGCTACGGTGCTGGCTCCGTGTTTGCAGCGTCAGATCTGCTGGTGCTAGCTTGCTACGGTGGTCGTGGCGGCCACAAGTGCAGAGATCGCGTTGCCGACTTCGAGCCGTCGGAAATCCACCAAAACCACGACCACTACCACTCTCCACCACGCCACACGACCTGAACCATGCCACCAAGGCTCTCTATGCGGTGGGCTCAATCGCCCATCGCTTCTACAGCAAGACACGCATCAAGACCGACGACTTTTGCCCCCCAATGCGCCTCCAGAAATGCCTTCGCCATTACCACTCGCGGCATGAAATCCGTCACAAAACACCCACATCCCACCAACCGCTACAACCATGCGCCAAATCTTCCTGTACTCGGCGCTTCATCGACCGCCGCTCTTGAGCGCAAGGCCTTTACAACCCCGCTGCGGACGGGTGCGATTGCTCTCAAAAGAGGCATGACTGCAATGGTCGACCCAGAGACAGGCATCCGCGTACCCTGCACGGTCTTGCAAATCGACCGGTGCCAGGTTGTACATCACAAGAGGCGCGCCATTCATGGGTACTGGGCGGTGGCAGTGGGCAGTGGATACAGACATCCAAGCAACATCACAAGGCCAATGCTCGGTCACTACGCCGTGTGCGAAGTCAGCCCCAAGGAGCACATCAAAGAGTTCCGCGTCAAGGATGAGAAGGGTCTCTTGGCTGTTGGCGAGGTAATTGGCGCAGACTGGTTTCTGCAGGGTCAATTTGTGGATGCAAGAGCGAACACGAAGGGCAAAGGTTTCGCTGGTGTAAGTCAAATTTCTTCGTTGAAACAATTGGGAATGGGTCCTGACAAAATGGTGGCATAGGGTATGAAAAAGCATGGCTGGGGTGGTCAGCCCGCCTCGCACGGTCAGTCGCTCATGCACAGAGGAATGGGTTCGTCTGGTGGTGGTCAAGGTTCCGGTTCCAGAGTTCACCCCGGTAGGCCCATGGCGGGACGCATGGGCAACGAGCGTCATACTGTGCAGAACCTCAAGGTGCTGCAGGTAGACAAGGAAAACGGCATTGTGGTCGTCAACGGTAGCGCACCTTCCGGAACTCGTTCTTCAATGTTTGCTAACTGTGACGTAGGAGCTGTCCCAGGTCCCAAGGGTTGCATGGTCATGCTCCAGGACGCCGTCAAGAAGCCGTGGCCTGATGTTCCGCCAGTTCCTGCGGCGCAGGCAAAGGAGGCAAAGGCGTAAACGCGTTCACGAGGGTCGAATCGGTTTGTCAGTCTCATCCCGAGTTACAAGCTCATTTGAAAAAGATTTCAAAAGTCGTCCGTGTTGTGGCGAATTGTATACCTGGATATCCAAATTTCATCAAGGGGTAGGGCGTATGTGGTCACCCGATAGCAATGTCACCATTACTCGTCTCAACCAAGATCTAAAAAGAGGCAGAAGACCAATCAGGTTTCGAGCCTCCTGACTCGAATAATGTTGACGAGCTATTTTTCGACGAAGTCTCCTCTCCGAGGCTGTCACGATGTTCTCGGTGGAACGTCACTCATAGCTGAGATACTCGTCTCGTGGTCCTGTCTCACCGTCCAGGGCCAAATACTCCAGCTCAGTCTAGCGAATTCGAAATAGTCAAGTGCAGCTGATCCGGTGCCGTGCTTTGCTTGTTTCTGATGTTCAACATGGCCTGCTTCGTCTGCTATAACGTATGACCGTTGGTGTGCAAATTGCACAGTTTCCAGCCTCGTCGTTGGCAAGGGCTCCCCTTTCCGGGTTCAGTCATTTTGATGCACATGGCACTTGCCTATGAACGTTGTTCAAAACTCTGACTTGTATCTCCAGGCACCATGAGACGACACCCTTCCCCGCCTCTGTCATCGGGCCCACTCCTGTCGAATTTGCATCACTGATTTTGGACAACCGCTGCTCTACTTGGACCCTTAGAGCGACCTCTTGTTGTGCTATATATTCGGCATCAGTACTCGCCCCGTCCTCCAATCCGAAAGAAACATCGGCATTTTGGAACCAAGCCATTGCATTCTTCGCAAGACCCTGCCAAATCACCATCGCCATGCACTTCCTCTCCATCATCCTCCTCAACCTCTTGGCCGTCATGTCGACTGCAGCCCCTCTCGAAACCTCTCCACTCAAGGAAGTCGGCTCCATTTCCGCACGCCAGGACAATCCCTTCTTCTTTGGCGCAAGTCCCCGCTCTGAGCACCGTGGGATTGCGCGAAAATGGTCTGACAGACATGTCCAACCAGGCCTACATGTGCTCCGACCCCGACTGGAAAGGCACCTGCATCGAAGTCCAGCGCCTCAAGGGCTACTGCATCATCTACGGCAAGACGTGAGTTTGACGAAATCCTGCTATGCGATGCCCGCACCGGCCGTTTTGGTTCCAGTGATGAGAGTGCTGACGCTCGCCACTCGCGACTTCCAGAAGCGACATTTCTTCTTTTGGACCGGACAAGGGGTTCACGTGCTCGGCTTACGGGTAAGTAACACCTGAAGTTCGTCGATGTCTTTGGGCTGATGTGTACACAGAACCTTCGATTGCACTGGGGATTCTCTTAAGTTGGAGTATCCCGGAGTCAGTGACTTGGCCAGCCTGGGCTGGGACAACAGGATCATTTCTTTCAGGTGTGATGGAGGCGACTCCAGGGTTGACAGATCCGACCGAGCTGGCGTTGTGGACTAGGAACGCGAAGATGATGGGAGTTGAGGCTTTTAGCCGCCTGGTGAGACAACAAGGAGGGGGATCATTGGTGTATAAGAATCTCAAGATTGTGAAGCCTTGAAGTCCAAAATTCATGCGGCGAGGATTATCATGACCGAATGAGAATGTAAAATGCTACCCCTCTCGTGTGCAGATGCGCATAACAATTTCCAGTGTCTCGCGAGTACAAACTACTCCTTGTCCTAACTTGAGTACTACAGAATAAATTGCTCAAAGCCGCCAATCGTACGCCACTAAGACTTTTCCACGAAGAGCTTCACACCAGCTTATTTCTAGATGAGGGATAGATCCGGATTTATGCATGCGCAAGGCTAGGTAAATCCATGGCGGGGTTGCAAGGATGACGCAACCGCGACCACATTTCCAGCGATCAGGAAACCCCCAGACATGCTGGTATCTCTCCTGCACATTCAAACAGACTTTTGATTGATACACAATGGCAGACGACGCAAGTCAAGCGCAAAGCGGCGATATTGACGACGAGCTCCTCGACACCTTCATAACCGCGTCCCACATCCTGCACTACCATGGCGTCGTCGATGGATACGGGCATATTTCTGTGCGGAATCCACAGTCTGGCATACATCTTCCTGCAAACGAGTTGGCACTGTCTGAACAGCGAGCAGCAACCCTTCGACGTTTTTCATGGCCCGCCACATTGCGCCCGCGCTCATCAGCAGCGAGGCGGACCTGATACAGTACAACATCGAAGATGCGTCGCCCATCTATCCTAATGTCAAGCCCGGCTATTCGGAGCGCTGCATCCACAGCGAAATCATGAAGAAGTATCCCGAAGTCAATAGCGTGGTCCACAGCCATTGTCCGGAAGTGCTGCCGTATTGCATCAGCAATGTGCCGCTCAAACCGGCGGTGCACATGGCCGGTTTTCTAGGTAAGGCAGTGCGCGCCAAAGGAGGGCTCACTGACGCTGGCTACAAAGTGTCGGTCAATCATTCTGCTGACCACCAGGACACAGGCTCCAGCGTCCCGGTCTGGGACATCGCATCCGCATACTCGTCCTCCGAGCACCGCGACCTGCTCGTCCGCACCCCACGCCTAGGCGCCTCGCTGGCCAACGCCTTTGCCAAATCGCACACGGTGCTCTCCTCGCTGTCAACATCGCTGACAACCAGACTCACCGGCGGCGACCCGCCGCCCGCGCCGCGCGCCCCTGACCACACCACCGTTCTGATGCGTGGGCACGGGTTCACGACCGCGGCCGCCAGCATCGAGGTCGCCGTGTTCCAGGCCGTGTACACAAAGGAAGCGTCGCAGGCGCTGACGGGGGCGCTGACGATTGCCGCGGCGTGGGGAGGTGGTGTCGTGGAAGGGGGGACGGTTGACCAGGGGAGCGGGCGCTTGAGTGGGGCGACGGTCAGGAGCGCGGCGTTGGATGGCGTGAAGTTTTTGAGTGAGCGCGAGGCGAAGGATGCAGGCGAGTCGATCGCTAAGGGGTCGGTGGCGAGGCCGTGGGAGCTTTGGAGAAGAGAGGTCGATGTGTGTCCGTTGTATGTAAATGACGTGAAGGAGAAGGTGCGAGGAGGGAGACGTGAGGTGATGGGAGGGTGATTGTGAGGGCGAGCATTCCGCGAAAGTGCAGCACATTGATAGCCTCAGCTCCTATGAGGGAGCACCATGTTCTCCTTTGACCGCTTAAATAGATGTATTCCTAGCTCTTTCTGCGTCTGTAGACAAGAATCTCCCGGATGAGGGGACCCAATTTTCCGCGCATGTCGTTTGGAGGAATTCAACATGTGCTGCAGAGAGACGTCTAGACCATGGTATTGTCTACCTACCTGTACATGTCTCGAATCAGTAGAGCACCAAATACAAATGCATCGATACGGTGGTGTGAGGGGGAAATGGTTGAGCAGATGCTGCTGTGAAGTGTGAGAGCCCAAAAAGTTCGGCCCGAGCAACACCCCCTGCCTGCTGGCACGCGGGCCGGTCCATTCCGCGGGCTGCAGCATCCAGGGAATCTTGGGCCAGCTGCCCCTGCCTGATGCCCCTTGCCTGCCAAACAGGTCCCTAAGGGTTTGCAAGAGGTCTTGCCCTTGAGGACCTCATTTACTACCCCTTGGAAGCGGACCCACTACGTACCGAGACATAGAGTAAATTCCCCACCGACACTTCGTCCAACAAGGCACTTTGGCGGAGTGGTTAACGCGCTGGCCTGCTACTTTCTCATCGATCTTAGCTGAACAAAGCCAGTTCCTTCGGGAGCGAGTGTTCGAATCACTCAGGTGTCGCGTAATATATCCGAAGTCTTCTTTTTGCTCTTTTTGCCTCGCCGCTATTCGATTCTTGACCATTGGGAGCCACAATTCCTTTTGGTTGATGATGCAGCTTGACGTAAACGCGGAGCGGTGAGGTCAGAGGTGCCAGATTGCAAGAGCTGCTGCACGGGCCACGACCAGCTCATGTGGAGTCGAGATGGTTCCTCTTCACGGGTTGCTGAGGAATTGCCGGAAGAAATGCTGTCACGGCTGCCAAGTTGTTTTCGATTTTTGAGACAGTCATGCGAGAAATATTATTTTGTGCAATTTGGATGCTCTTGCATAATCTTCAATTCATCATAAAAATCCCCAAATCCACTATTCAGCTTTTTAGTCACGTCATATGTATAGGAAAGAGAAAGATATGTACGAAGTACGTATTTGGAGACAAGACTCTCTTAAGGTGCCTTGTATCCAGCATCCGACAAGCTCTCCTTGAGAGCTTCCAGAGCGCGGTCAATGTCATCCCGCTTGGGATCCATGACGCTGACGCCCATGTGACCGAAACGGATGTACTTGGTAGCAATCTCCTTGTGCAAACCACCGGCAAAGATGACACCCTTCTTGAGCAGGGTGGGCAAGACTGAAGTTGGTGCAACTCCTTCGGGGAGGTAAATTGCAGTCATGCCGTTTGCCTGGTTTTCAGGCTTCTCAGCCAGCTGCTTCAAGCCAAGAGACTTGACCGTCTGCTTGACCCTCTGGGAGACCTCGTGCTGGCGTGCGAAGCGTTGATCCAGAGAAGAGGCAAGGATCTGAGTCAACGACGTGTGGAGAGCGCGGACGAGCTGCGGCGAGGGAGTGGCAAAGTAAGATGGCTTCTTGGCCTCGTAGTTTTGCATGACTGCCGTTGTTAGCAACGTAAGATCTGGACGACGGGACTGAGGTCGTACTTGGTAGCCAGTTCTTCCACGAACCAAAGTACGAAGTCGGCTTCGTCTTCCTGGCCTTGAAAGTCTCAATGGCACGTCCCGATGCCATGAGAATGCTCAGACCGGCGGGACAGCCGATCCCCTTCTGGCTGGCCGTGAGGACCACGTCCAGTCCCCATTCGTCGAAACGAATCTCCTCGGAACCAACGCTGCACACACCATCCACGATGACCAAGGTCTCGGGGCTGACGCGATGCACCAATTCCGACACGGCTTTGATGTCGCTGAGCACACCGGTGGATGTGTCGACGTGTGTGATTGTCACAAGCTTGTACTTCTTCTCCTTCAGTGCCTTCTCGATCTGATCCGGCTGCGGCCTTTCGCCAATGGGTGCCTTGAGCTGAGTGGCCTTGACGCCGTAAGTGTCGAAGCAGTCGGCGAAGGAGTCGGCAAAGTAGCCAGTGTGGAGGACCAGCACTTCGTCGCCCGGCTCAGCCAAGTTGGCCGCCACCTGGTCCCACCCTAGCGTGCCGGAGCCGGAGATGATAAACGGTTGCGATGCGGGATTGGAGGTCTGGAAGAGCTTCCGGAGCATAGAAAGAGCCTCGCCAAAGACAGAGACGAACGGTGCGCCGACATGCGACTCACTGGTGTAGTACCGTCAGCAGAGGCGGCGGGGTGAGATCTGGATCGGCGAATAAGTACCTGTAGTGGCTCATGGCCTGGAGAACGGCATCTTCGAACTCAATTGGTCCGGGAATCAGAAGCGTAGGGTGCGAGTCTTGAGAAGACATGGCGGGCGATGCTGGAGAGGAGTCTGGCAAAGGAAGACAATGTTAGTTTGGGGGTGAAGAGGAAGTTCGGCAAGGCGATAGACTTGCCGTTTAAGTGTCTCGACACGAGACTAAGACGGTCGCTGGCTTGCGAGGTCATGATTGGCGGCGGAATGGTAGGAGGGGTTAAGGGAAGGAACGCGGGGCGGGCGGGACCGGACTTCCGGATTGGGATAGGTGTGCCAGTGGTGATGTTCTTGTCCAAAGTGGGACGCTGTGCAATTTTTCAGTAGTTATGGACGCAGGTTGAATGCGAGTTTCGATAATGGTGGTGGTTTCGAGAGTTGAATGAGCTGACAATGACCTGAAGGTAATTGAACAATTCAACACCCCGGCAGGTGGCTTAAGTCCGATGTCAAAGGGACCGTGTGTTCTTGTTCTAAATGTCGCCATTGGAACACTCATATTACTCTTCTGGACCCCTCAGGACGACCAATATTGACCGAGAATGAAATCCCGATTTGCTCCATAGTCCTCCGCAACATTCCGCATGCTTTAAACCAACTCCGCAGACCACGATTCAAGTTGAGGGAGTCATCGACCCGCTCCGCTCTTGGCGTTCTCCGCCGCTAGGTAGCTACCTCCGCCTCAACTCCGCCGGGCTGGGGCGCGCGGCTCTGAACAAACAACTCCGCACCGACACGGCCTTGAGGTCGTGGATGACCGGAAATCATGACTTCAAGACTGGTGCTATGTCTCGGTGACCTCTTCATCCCAGACAGAGCTTCGGTAAGCCCTCCAGCTTCTGCGGCCGCCTTCTCACAGCTCGGCGACTAACCCACACGTCATAGGACATTCCCGCAAAGGTAGACCAGCTCCTCCTATACGCGCCCTCAATGCCTCTCCTCCCGCCACGCGTAGACCCTCTGACTCCGAACAGTTCAAGAAACTCCTCGCCCCGGGAAAGATCGGCCAGATATTATGTCTGGGCAACCTTACCGACAAGGATACCTACGACTTCCTTCGTAGCATAGCTCCCGACCTACAGATCGTCAAGGGCGACTTCGATGTTGAGGCGCCTAACCTCGCTCTCTCCAAGGTCGTCACCCATGGATCGCTGAGAATAGGCTTCACCCATGGACATACAATCATCCCCCCTGGCGACCCGGACAGCTTGTTGATCGCAGCGCGCCAAATGGACGTCGACGTACTCCTATGGGGTGGAACACATAGGTTCGAGGCTTATGAAATGGAGGGCAAGTTCTTTGTCAACCCGGGAAGCGCCACTGGCGCAATGACAACTGGATGGTGGCCCGAGGAGGATGAGCCCACACCGAGCTTTGTGCTCATGGATGTGCGTGTACTAAAGTCCAACCATGGTACTGTCTGCTGACATGCTTGACAGATTCAAGGCGACGTACTGGTGCTCTACGTCTACCAATTGCGAAAAGACGCCAACGGAAACGAGAACGTCGGCGTGGAGAAGGTGTCTTTCCGGAAAAACGGAGGTGGGATTGCTTGAAAATCATGGCGAGGACTACAGGGGGATAATGCGGAGCATGAATGATACCACGTCTACCAGGAATCTGATATTTGCAACCCGAGAGGTGTGTTTGCTTCCTACTTTGCCCGAACTAGAGTTTGCCCTCTTGTTTCCTTGCACTACCCCGCATCACCATGGAGGATCGCTTGCAGAATAAATCGGATGAGTCAATTAGATGGCATGAAAATGCTTTTTGATATTTCGATCTATGATTTTGATGCCGAGCGAAATGACAAACGGCAACGCCCCAGTCACCGTGGAAGCTGAGTTTGAACATGGGACATATGAGAAGACCAAGCTCCCAGTAGTTCACACCTCTGGTTCCTCACGTAATTTGCCAATTCGAATTTGGGCCAAATGCATTCTTGAATTCCGTTCACCACCTCATCCTCTACCAGCCTTCATGCGCTCCAAAGCAGCGTCATCTTCGGACTTGCTACCTGACGCCTGTGTGTCCCCAGGGTCCTTCGATTTCTTCGACAATTTATCGCCCACCAGCGCCTCTTTCAGCAACGCCGAATTTGAGCTCAGCTGCTCAGCCTGACCATGCCGCCGCGCGCTCTCGTTTCTCCAATTTATCTGTCCGCCGTCGGCCTCGCGATGCTTCTGCGCGTTCAGCTTAGCCGCACGGATCGAGGTTCGCGCGTAGATGAAGAGGAGCCCGGCCATGGTGAAGGCCGCGAGTGGAGCGGTAAATGTCTAGGGAGAAGGGAGGTCAGTCAGAGCTCTCGCCCGGAATCTCGCGACAAGGTGAGCCGGCCGCGCACGTACCCTGGCATTGTAGACGAATGACTTCGGCGGCCGGGTTGGTCGCGACGTTTCGTTCATGCCGTCCGGCCCGCGAGGCACGGACTGACGACCACCCATGTTTGTTGTTTTTGGGCACTGGAGTTGTGGTCAAAAAGGTGTTTGGTGGTTGAAGTACTTCCCCGCAGAGGGGCGTTGTGAAGCTACCCGGACGTCTTTGCGCCAGGAACATGGTGGCGTGACGTCTGCGATGAAGCTACCCCAGCTCGTAGCCGTGCGCTTAACTTTCGATTGTTTACGACTCAATTCAATTGTAGGGATGACATTATAGCCACCGAGAACCTCCATTCTACTCTCTTTTACTTGCTCGACTCAGTCTCTATTATAGAATGGTCAAGGCGTTTCTCTTCTTCTAATTGGAAAACCTGCAAATCAAGAAAGACAAGTTGTGCAGGAGCAATGAGAAGATGGTCTTGCCCTTCACTGTCCCGTCTCCCTCAAACGGACCCAAGGCAAAGGATGACCGCCTCTAGCGCACGCTTTGTCTGCTCAACATTGTACACCTGCACCGAATCGATACCCGCTGTCTCCCGGACCGGCGCATCGTTGCCACCGGGGTACAGCGCATCGCCGAAGAAGAGAATGTCCTTCTTTGCAAATCCAGACAGCTCACTCAACCTCTCCATACCGTAGGCCTTGTCAACGCCGGCGCGGGTGATGTCAATTGACGTAGCGCCGCCCATGCGCACCGAGACATGCGGCAGGCGTGGCTGCAGGTCGGCCTGGATGAGGCGGCGCTTCTCCTGCTTGGGGTCCCATTCCTCCTTTGGCTTCAAAGGAGCCTGTTGACCGAGGGCGGAGAAGGTGATTTGACTGCCACGGTCTTCGATTTGCTCGCCCCAGATCTGGGTTGGAGTGAAGCCCAGGCGGTCAATGCTGGCGCGCAGCTCCGCAATGATGTTCGCGCGGTCGTCGTCACTAAACAGGTCGGCGTACTTGCGTGTCCAGGTGTTGGCCTCGAAGCGGTACAGCTTGGTGCCC